GTCGTCGTTAAAAATGGTCGTTACAGTTCGTGACGTATAAAAGGGCATTGTTAGAAGGCGTCGCTATTGATAGTCGTTAGAAAGGTGTTCGTTTGAAGTGGTTATTTAAGGGGGTGGGGACATCGTTAGCCCGTTAGGGAAGACCTCGTTGAAGAGGTTATTTGAATAAAATCGTAAAAAAATGTTAGATAGACATTTCTAAGGTTAACCGCAAGAGATGTCGTCAGAGAAGATAATGTAGAGGACCTCTACAGGAATTGCTGTTAGAGAGATTCGTTAGAGGGTTTCGCTAGAGAGGGTCATTCGAAAATTTCGCTAGAAAGGCATGCTGTAACAGGTTCACCGCAGAGGTTCGTTAGATAAGAGTGTTGTTACAGATAGGTCATCAGTGATTCGTTAAAGTGATGTGTCGATAGAGAGAAAGATTTGAAAATGATTTGGGTGTTGATCTAAAGAGTCGTTTGGGTGTCGTTGGAGAGTCATTTGAACTACTGTCATTTGAGAAGAAGGTTCAAGGGGGCGCCATTAGAGAGGGTCGTTAGAGAGGCTGGCGTTGAGAAGCTATTTAAAGGTGCCGTTCAAGGGAATTATTTTTGAGAGGATCGATTTATAAGATCTTATGATAGAGTCATATTAAAGACTGTTGAGCGGGGAACTTTTGCTTAGCATTAACTTATTCTAAACAAAATTCGAAAGAGGATAACTGCAGAGTTGTAGCTATAGAAAGAAGTTAAGAGAGCAGTTAGAGGCGATATTTTAAGGTTGAAGAATAGGCGTAAGATGAGAAGTATAGGAATAGATATAAGAAAGGTTTGAAATATAGGAATGAGGTAAAGTATGGGAATAAGGAATAGACATAACATGCCCAACATGAACCTTAGTCCAGGCAACATTACTGTTGTTCTAACTCGCTTAACAAACATAACCTGACATAGCTTGAGGCCCTCTAGGCTCGCTTTCCCTTTCTTCCTCTTTTGTTGCTATTTCTTTATCTCAATTTCATGTCATTATCATTGCCATTTGGCCTTCTTTTCTTTATTCCTCACTTCTTCAACTTTATTATATTTTTAACTTTTGCTTATATTTCTTATTCTTGTACGTCTCTCTCTCATTCCAGTACAATACCATACTTCAAACCTATTCCCATACTTTACCTTTTCCCCATATTTTATACATTTTGTTATATCTTTCCCTATTCTTATTACATTACTCCTATTCTTCAACCGTCTCACCTATCATCTCACTCCCTTTCCTTCGTCTCACTTATCATCTTAATCTCTTAACTTATAAATTGACTTTCTTCATTACTTAATAATGGTTCAAGATGGACCGAAACGTCGTCAGTTCTTTAATTTTCAGATGTGTGGGTTGGGTGTCCCGTAGCAGTTTAATATTGACAAAATTCAGAAATAAAAAAATATTAGCTCGTGAGCTAAACTTTGCATAATTAGCAATATAAATTGTTTAATTTAAATTGAGTTTAACAGATGGGTTTAAACAGATGAACTTGACAGGTGGATGGATTGGAACCTAAATTTTTAAGATGTCTTCATTATTTCCGGACTAAACTTGCTTAAACTCCAGCAATTAACAGCAACAAATGTCTTAAGGAAAGTAAAAAGGCTGAGCAACAGGAAACTAATTCAGAACACCTCCCCCCCCCCGTATAAACGAGATTTGAATTTTACGTAGAACACTTCACAAGTCGGACACTTAACAAGTCGGACACTTAACAAGTCGGACACTTCACAAGGTTTTATTATAATTAATATTTTCTACCACAGACGTGGCCATACATTTACAATGCTAACCAACATATATACACTTTCTTCTGTCCTCCATGGACAGGGCGAGAGATCAGTTAAACATATAGTTCAGTGATTTATTGAACAATCAACCACAGAAGGTAATTGCAGTGCTTATAAAATGCTAGTCTAGCCTACATGCAAAAATTACAGAAATACACAAATTTACGTCTGCCATACATAAACGTGTTCGGTGTGTGTCTGTATATAATGTAATTAATGTGTGTTTGCAAAGGTGAAATTCAATTCTAACCAGCTTCAACATATCCTGTATACACATGCATACATAAATATATATATATATATATATATATATATATATATATATATATATATATATATATATATATATATATATATATATATATATATATACATGTCGTACCTAGTAGCCAGAACTCACTTCTATGCCTACTATGCAAGGCCCAATTTGCCTAATAAGCCAAGTTTTCATGAATTAATATATTTTCTTTATTTTTTTTCTTATGAAATGATAAAGCTACCCATTTCGTTATGTATGAGGTCAATATTTTTTATTGGAGTTAAAATTAACGTAGATATATGACCGAACCTAACCAACCCTACCTAACCTAACCTAACCTATCTTTATAGGTTAGGTTAGGTTAGGTAGCTGAAAAGGTTAGGTTAGGTTAGGTTAGGTAGGATAGGTAGTCGAAAAACAATTAATTCATGAAAACTTGGCTTATTAGGCAAATCGGGCCTTGCATAGTAGTCATAGAAGTGCGTTCTGGCTACTAGGTACGACATATATATATATATATATATATATATATATATATATATATATATATATATATATATATATATATATATATATATATATATATATATATATATATATATATATATATATATATATATATATATATATATATATATATATATATATATGTCGTACCTAGTAGCCAGAACGCACTTCTCAGCCTACTATGTAAGGCCCGTTTTGCCTAATAAGCCAAGTTTTCCTGAATTAATATATTTTCTCTATTTTTTTTCTTATGGAATGATAAAGCTACCCATTTCATTATGTATGAGGTTAATTTTTTTTTATTGGAGTTAAAATTAACGTAGATATATGACCAAACCTAACCAACCCTACCAAACCTAACCTAACCTATCTTTATAGGTTAGGTTTGGTTAGGTAACCAAAAAAGTTAGGTTAGGTTAGGTTAGGTAGGTTAGGTAGTCGAAAAACAACTAATTCATGAAAACTTGGCTTATTAGGCAAATCGAGCCTTCCATAGTAGGCTGAGAAGTGCGTTCTGGCTACTAGGTACGACATATATATATATATATATATATATATATATATATATATATATATATATATATATATATATATATATATATATATATATATATATATATATATATATATATATATATATATATATATATATATATATATATATATACACATACATTTATGTCTATCCTACTTTGACAGGGTAAGGTAACTCCTATATAAACTACAGTAGTGTGTTATTAAGCTGCTGAAGGTGATTAAGGGGCTTTTACAAGCTCAGGTTATAGTTACATCACAAACACTGTATAACTGATGCATTACATAGTCAATCTTGGATACACGTCCAAAGCCCAATATATCGTCAAGTGTTCCAGTACTCATATAGTATTTACAGCGTTCAGCACTTCAGAAGTGAAAGACACCTCGCTTTATTTGACTCTCTATATATCTATCTATCTACGTAATGATATATCCAGCTATCACCCCTTTATCCATACCACTTTTTCTTCTCTCTCTCCTTCTCTCCTCTACTGCCCACCATTCCATGACTCCATTTCCCTGTTCCAGAACTCCCTTCCACAATTCCAACACTGTCTCCCCCAGTCTTCCCCACATCCCATTACAGACAGTGCCACGGAGGCAAGGAGAACCTTATACACGTACACTCCTCTCGTTACCTGGGCAGACGTCCCGGGCTTGTGACTGTGGCATATCCCAAGTAAACACGGACATTTGGCCATTCTCACCACACGGAATTGGGAAACGCACTTAGAAAATGAATGCCGGGTAAGCGATATCGTTAATGACTTATACAGGTTGGTGCTCTTGCTCTCAGCTCTGTGCACAGCTCATGGACGTACAGTATACTACCATTTCAATTATATATTATTTTTTTGAGGTATATACAAGAGTTGTTACATTCTTGTACAGCCACTAGTACGCGTAGCGTTTCGGGCAGGTCCCTGGAATACGATCCCCGCCGCGAAGAATCGTTGTTACAACCAAGTACACATTTTACTTTTGAGTTAAACAGAGGCTACAGTTAAGGATTTGCGTCCAGTAAATCCTCCCCGGCCAGGATACGAACCCATGACAAAGCGCGACAAACCACCATGCCAAAAATTATTGAATATGACAGAAAGGGTGAGCTCAATGATTCTAGTACTAGTCTTCTCTATTTTCTTACGTTTTTCTTCGCTTGAGAAGGGTGTTGAAAAATTAACTCTCCAAAGTTTATGTTACAACTTTATTAAGCCCTGACGCCTAAAGATGAGTTTCGTTGACCCTTGTCAACATTAGCAAAGGCAGAGTTTGAAGTGGAAGACGTTTCTGTGTTGTGGGATATATAACCGGGGATGAGGAGAAGTTGGAGCACCTCACGAATAGGCCAATAGGCCCATTACAGCTTACCAATCTCCCATGTTTCCATGATAGTTGGGGCAGTATACTGTATGCTGCAGGCGACGAGTCACAATAACGTGGCTAAAGTAAGTTGACCAGACAACACACTAGAAGGTGAAGGGACGACGTCGTTTCGGTCCGTCCTGGACCATTCTCAAGTCGATTATGAGACTATAATCGACTTGAGAATGGTCCAGGACGGACCGAAACGTCGTCGTCCCTTCACCTTCTAGTGTGTGGTCTGGTCAATATACTGTATGTTGTTGTTGATAGATGTCTTGGTTTGTTTGAGGTATAATGCCTTGTCACTGTCCAGTCATTATTGTCGTTGCATTTGTCGATTATTTTGGCGTTGTTTGTTAACTCAGAGTCGAGGACTCTGAGTTGTTCAACTTGGGGTCTCATTTTTTGCAATATTAATCAACTCAAAGATGTTAAGGTCTAGTCTAAAAGAACTAGAAATTAGTATAATGAAGATATGAGTAAAAATGATGTCACAGTGATGCATTGAGCGAAACGCAACTTACCTGAAGGGAATTCCTGAAAGGTAAAAAAGACCCATACGTTCACAAAAGCGACGCTTGAGGTTTCGTGATATATTCCCCCATCATGGACCAGCTAGACAACTTAAAAATATCAACTTCATCTGATCTGAGACCAAAGGGTTTGTAAATAAATTCGAATAGTAAGATTATTGGTAAACACAAACTGAAAGGCAATCTACAGGTAAGTATTTCTCAGTTTCTCCGCAATTCTTTTCAAATATGATACTTTATAGCTCACAAGTAAGGAAATGTTATTACATGGAGCGTCTTTGGGGAACTGTTTACGACCTAGTGAAGGAATCCCATGCAACTCCGGGACTTGCCTTGCCGCAAATATTTTAACCTTTTCCACTTTTCTAATGTGTTTCTTTAGGTGGGGAGCTCCATGATGGGGCTGCATATTCGAAGATTGGTCTCACGTATGCAATGTAAAGCGTTCTGAATGCCTCCTTAGTTAGGTTTCTGAATGATGTTGTAACGTTTGCTAGTGTGGAGTACGCTGCTGTAGTTATCCAATTTATGTGTGCCTCAGGAGTTAGATTTGGTGTTACATCCACTCCCAGGTCCCTTTCTCTATTCGTCACAGGAAGGTAGTTTCCCTTTATTGTGTGCTGACCCTTTGGTCTCCTGCTACCTAGTCCCATTTCCATAATTTTACATTTGCTCGTGTTGAACTCCAGTAGCCATTTCGCGTCATACGCGAACATCGACATATAGGACTCGACTCCAGTAGACATGTCGTTCACGTATATTAAAAACAGAACTGGTCCCAGCACAGATCCTTGAGGTACTCCACTCGTTACTGTTCGCCAGTCTGACTTCTCGCCTCTGACTGTTACTCTCTGGCTCCCGCCTGTTAAATAATTCCTTACCCATCTTGAGGTTATCTTGAGATAATTTCGGGGCTTAGCGTCCCCGCGGCCCAGTCCTCGACTAGGCCTCCTTTTTGTTACACCCCCCCCACCAGGAAGCAGCCCGTATCAGCTGTCTAACTCCCAGGTACCTATTGACTGCTAGGTAACAGGGGCATCAGGGTGAAAGAAACATTTTGCCCATTTGAGGCAAATGGTCCAGGAGACCCATGCTGGGGCTTTTCCGCTCACTCCCGCCTCATCCCTCTCAAGTCTGAATAGCAGTCTCCTGTGCGGTACTGTGACCAGTCTTAACCTAATTAGTCTTTCAAGTACTTTAGATACTTAAAACTTGTCAGTGATACTTGGCGGTGATACTGGTCTGTAGTTAGGTGCCTCTTCCCTATCACACACATACGCACGAGGTGAGTGTGTGTGAGTGTGTGTGTGTGTGTGTGTGTGTGTGTGTGTGTGTGTGTGTGTGTGTGTGTGTGTGTGTGTGTGTGTGTGTGTGTGTGTGTGTGTGTGTGTGTGTGTGCGCGCGCGTCCGTGCGTGCGTGCGTGTGCCGACATCAGAGACTGAAGCAGCGTACAGAATGACGCCCACTCTGACGTCACCATTTGCGTCTGCGTCATTCGACTTGCGTCATCAGGCAGGTGTGGCCGCGTCAGGTGAGACATGCTTAATTAATACCATGTTTATTATTTTTTTTTACAAAAGCGTTACAATTTATTTAGTCTGAATTCCCGAGTGTGTTTAAAAATTAGTTGATGTATATGTTAAGCCTTCATGTATATATTTACAAATCAGTTCGTGTGTTAGAGTATTAACGTGGGAATTTGTTCATAAATGTATACTAATATCAAAGTGGGACGGGGAGTTGAGAGGGACTCGTGGGAGAGTAGAAGGGAGAGATGGGAGGGGACACGATCTGTAATAATGTATCTTCCTTTGCAGATGACACGATGGTTTTCATGAGAGTAGACAACATAGAGGACACGGCAAACTTCCAATCAGATGTAAATCAGGTCTTTCTATGGGCTACAGAAAATAATATGGTGTTTAACGAAGATAAGTTCCAGCTCATGCGCCACGGAAATATGAAAATTTAAAAACGGAAACCATGTACAAAACTCAGTCAAATCATAACATAGGTACGAAAAGGCAATGTAAAGGATTTGGGTGTACTCATGTCGGAAGACCTTACCTTTAAAGAACACAATAAAGTAGCCGTCACAACTGCAAGAAAAATGACAGGTTGGATAACAAGAACCTTTCACACTAGAGGTGCTATACCGATGAAACTTTTCAAGACGCTAGTGCTCTCTAGAGTGGAATACTGTTGCATAATAACAGCCCCTTTCTAAGCTGAAAAAAATTGCTGACCTACAGAGCGTGCAGAAATCCTTTACTGCTAGAATTCACTCAGTAAAACATCTAAACTACTGAGACCGACTAAAATGCTAGGATTGAAGAGAATCTGTATTCTCTTGAGCGCAGGCGGGAGAGAGACATAATAATTTACACGTGGAAAATATAAGAGGGGCTGGTCCATAAGCTGCACACAGAAATAACACCACAGGAGACCAGGAGGCATGGCAGGATGTGCAGAATACCCCCGTTGAAAAGCAGAGGTGCAACAGGTACTCTGAGAGAGAACTCTATCAACATCAGAGGCCCGAGACTGTTCAACACGCTTCCACTACACTTAAGGGGCATAACTAGCACATAAATAAGCACCTCCTAAGGATGCCTGATCAACCATCCTGTGACTCATACGTCAGGCTGCGAGCAGCTGCGTCCAACAGCCTGGTTGACCAGTTCAGCAACGAGGAGGCCTGGTCGACGACCGGGCCGAAGGGACGATAAGCCCCGAAACAATCTCAAGGTAACCTCAAGGTAACCTAAAGGGACAGATAGGAGGGTAAAAAAAAGCAAAATAGGATGAAAGTAGGGATAGGTAGAGAGGACAGGTAACTTGACTGACGGGAGAAGGGACAGGTGGAGGAAACAGGGCTATAGGTGGGAGGAAGTGGCAAATGGAAAGGAGGAGGAGGAGGGTGTGAGGAAAAGAGGAATAGAAGGAGAGGAGGGAGGAGGCAATTAAAAGACCATTATCGTGATCTCCGCGCGCGCGCACACACACACACACACATACACACACACACACATACACACACTCACACTCACACTCACACTCTCACACACACACACTACATTATATATATATATATATATATATATATATATATATATATATATATATATATATATATATATATATATATATATATATATATAAAATATATATATATATATATATTTGGTAAATATGACCGAAAAGGTAAGATTAATAATTCTAACACGAATTTTCTCAATATTTCTTTATGTTTCTTTTCACTGTCGATGGTAATTGAAAAATCAGTTCTCCAAAATTCATTTTTATTTCTAGTCTGACGCGTTCAGGCGTCGCGTCAGATCACCACTAGGCCACAACGACTGTTAAAAGAATTGAAAGTCGTAAGACCCTCAACCCAATTCCCAAGAGCACTCGGTGTTCCCAAGAACAGGAATAATGGGTTGTGGTGAACCCACGATTATATATGACCAGCTCGTACGTCTAATTTTCTACGGGCTATTCATGCCCGTGCCACCTCTTGGGTCGCTTAATGTTCATCAATCAATCGTCTAATGTTAGTAGACTTGTGTTTCCCGCACTATGAAAATGTCAACCAGAAAATGTCACATTAACGAAACTTCGTAATAAAATGTAAAAAATATGTGATCTACTGTTGCTTTACCATCCACATGTTAATATATAAAATGAAAAATAATCATAAGAAAATAGAAAAAATGTATATCTATATATCGAAATTGACTTTAATGAGTTCTGTGATGAATTTATCGGCTGCCCTTCATCACATCTGGATGAGTTTGAGCGCCTGTATTTAAGATTGGTTATATGTACATAATTCCAAGTAATTTCTATTTCTGCCTCCAATAGTTGACTTTAATTGTGTTTGACACGTTAAGTGTTAAAATTCAAACAATTTGTGATACAGACGTTATTTTGGATCAGGGAAGCCAGCGTCTTTACCTCTAGACGTTATTTTGGATCAGGGAAGTTAGCGTCTTTACCTCTAGACGTTATTTTGGATCAGGGAAGTCAGCGTCTTTACCTCTAGACGTTATTTTGGATCAGGGAAGTTAGCGTCTTTACCTCTAGACGTTATTTTGGATCAGGGAAGTTAGCGTCTTTACCTCTAGACGTTATTTTGGATCAGGGAAGTCAGCGTCTTTACCTCTAGACGTTATTTTGGATCAGGGAAGTCAGCGTCTTTACCTCTAGACGTTATTTTGGATCAGGGAAGTCAGCGTCTTTACCTCTAGACGTTATTTTGGATCAGGGAAGTCAGCGTCTTTACCTCTAGACGTTATTTTGGATCAGGGAAGTCAGCGTCTTTACCTCTAGACGTTATTTTGGATCAGGGAAGTCAGCGTCTTTACCTCTAGACGTTATTTTGGATCAGGGAAGTCAGCGTCTTTACCTCTAGACGTTATTTTGGATCAGGGAAGTCAGCGTCTTTACCTCTAGCAGCTTTACTTTACATGTTTAGTATTTATCTCACCTTGATTAAGACTATCAGTGTTTAAAAGCCTCACATTATTTCTGTTTGTAACCAGGTTCAGCAGCCAGGTTCACCAACCAGGTTCAGCAACCAGGTTCACCAACCAGGTTCACCAACCAGGTTCACCAACCAGGTTCACCAACCAGGGTTCACCAACCAGGGTTCACCTCCCAGGTTCACCAACCAGGTTCACTAACCAGGGTTCACCAACCAGGTTCACCAACCAGGGTTCACCAACCAGGTTCACTAACCAGGGTTCACCAACCAGGTTCACCAACCAGGGTTCACCAACCAGGTTCACCTCCCAGGTTCACCAACCAGGTTCACCAACCAGGTTCACCAACCAGGGTTCACCAACCAGGTTCACCAACCAGGTTCACCAACCAGGTTCACCAACCAGGTTCACCAACCAGGTTCACCAACCAGGGTTCACCAACCAGGTTCACCAACCAGGTTCACCAACCAGGTTCACCTCCCAGGTTCACCAACCAGGTTCACCAACCAGGTTCACCTCCCAGGTTCACCAACCAGGTTCACCAACCAGGTTCACCAACCAGGGTTCACCAACCAGGGTTCACCAACCAGGTTCACTAACCAGGGTTCACCAACCAGGTTCACTAACCAGGTTCACGTCCAGGTTCACTCTCTATGATGTTGTGGGTGCTATGTTATTTATAACATTCCACTTCATTCCTCCTGTTGTTTTCGTACACGGGAGACTTATTGCCTCCAGCTTTATGTAATCATGGGGCCAATTAGAGCTCTATATCACAACCTTATTCGTATCTCCTTTCATGATTTCGTTCATAGTAAACCCATTCCTCCTCTACCATTTTTTGTTCTTGTTTCGAAAGGTTTTGGGGGTGTCGTGAGGTAGCCCAAACAACTGGCAGGAGAGGGGAAGGGTACGGTGTTGTGAGGAGAGTGAGGAGTGGTGGTGAGGTAAGGGGAGAGGGGAGAGAGAAAGGGTTGCTGAGGAGAGGGCAGGGGAGGGGGACTGCATGGGGCTGGAGGCCGCACTAAGAGGTGGTGGATTTTATGGGGGTTTATGGAGTGGTGTTGGTCTAGCAGGATGTTGGAGAGAGAGAGAGAGATTTTGGGCAGTTCCTGTCTTTCTCTTCCCCTCTCACTTTCGGCCCCCTTCTGTCTGTCTGTCTGTCTGTCTGTCTGTCTGTCTGTCTCTCTCTCTCTCTCTCTCTCTCTCTCTCTCTCTCTCTCTCTCTCTCTCTCTCTCTCTCTCTCTCTCTCATGCAAACAGATACATATATACATGGTTGATCCATGACTAGTTATGTAGCTGGAAACATACATGGTTGTCCAGCTAGTGACATGGGAGGTTGTCCAGCTAGTGACATGGGAGGTTGTCCAGCTAGTGACATGGGAGGTTGTGGAGCTAGTGACATGGGAGGTTGTGGAGCTAGTGACATGGGAGGTTGTCCAGCTAGTGACATGGGAGGTTGTCCAGCTAGTGACATGGGAGGTTGTCCAGCTAGTTACATGGGAGGTTATCCAGCTAGTGACATGGGAGGTTGTCCAGCTAGTGACATGGGAGGTTGTGGAGCTAGTGACATGGGAGGTTGTGGAGCTAGTGACATGGGAGGTTGTGCAGCTAGTGACATGGGAGGTTGTGCAGCTAGTGACATGGGAGGTTGTGGAGCTAGTGACATGGGAGGTTGTCCAGCAAGTGACATGGGAGGTTGTGCAGCTAGTGACATGGGAGGTTGTGCAGCTAGTGACATGGGAGGTTGTGCAGCTAGTGACATGGGAGGTTGTCCAGCTAGTGACATGGGAGGTTGTGCAGCTAGTGACATGGGAGGTTGTGCAGCTAGTGACATGGGAGGTTGTGCAGCTAGTGACATGGGAGGTTGTGCAGCTAGTGACATGGGAGGTTGTGCAGCTAGTGACATGGGAGGTTGTGCAACTAGTCAAAGTCATTTTCCGCACGGCCTTACTCTGCTGTATTGATTAAACTCGTTCCAAGCAGAACTGTGGGGCATTTGAAAGAAAGGTTTTGCTCTCTCTCTCTCTCTCTCTCTCTCTCTCTCTCTCTCTCTCTCTCTCTCTCTCTCTCTCTCTCTCTCTCTCTCTCTCTCTCTCTCTCTCTCTCTCTCTCTCTCTCTCTCTCTCTCTCTCTCTCTCTCTCTCTCTCTCTCTCTCTCTCTCTCTCTCTCTCTCTCTCTCTCTCTCTCTCTCTCTCACGAGCACAAGAGTTCACGTCAATATGTGTAAACAAATATATTAGTCTAGTAAGAAATATTATTGATACATTTCATTTCAGTTGCCAAAAATAAATTATAACCAAGTGTGACTAGATGACATTGACTCGAAAAAAGTCGAGATTTACGTATAGACAAATGCCAAAACCGATGTCTCAATGACCCTTTTTAACACGACACCTGGTGATCATCACATCTCCTGTACGGTATTGACCAACTATATGTAGTTGGTAGTATGTATGTATTAAGTAGTGCCCCTTAAATATAGATCAAATTACAACGAAATGAAGTCAGCGGCGCTGGGCCTAATCGACGAATTTACCCTGAATACTGAGGCTGATACAGGATACATCAAGCGATCACGGAACAAAAATACAACCGACAAAAATACAGCCGACCAAAATACAACCGACCAAAATACAACCGACCAAAATACAACCGACCAAAATACAACCGACCAAAATACAGCCGACCAAAATACAGCCGAGTTATACAGCGGGCGAATAGCCCAGCGCGAGGAGACACTATAAGAGACAAAATTAGAGGGAACGCCCTGAGATATACAACAGGGTCGGATGCCATTTCTCATAACCTAATCGTTGACGGGCATCCGGCCACGCGACAACCGTACACTCCTCTCTTGCGAAAACCCCGAAATTCGGCTACCATCGTTAAGGCGGCCGACCCATAAACAGGGACCCGTTGAGAGCACAATAACATCTTATACAATTTAGGATGCCAGCGGCCGGGGAAGTTCTCTGGAAATTGTTAAATATTGTGCAAATTACTGCCAAAAGGGTCAGCTAGTCCTTTTTGTTGTGGGGGAGAGGGGGGGGGGGAGGGAGGTAGTAAGTGCTTCATGTATGAGTGCCAGTTAGATGGCACTCTCTGGTCACTACAAGGCCAGCTGAAAGGAGGCACTTTCTGGTGGGTATAGCACCAATTGGATGGTACATATTTATATCTTTAGGAGCGAATGTCTCTCTGTATTTTTAATGTAGGATCACTGGTGAAGGAGGAGGAGGAAGGGTTGGGGTCATATGGTTAACTATGGTCGCCTTGCTAACATTGTTGATCTTATAGTGTAAGCTTCCTATGCTTCTATTTTCTTAGTCTGCATAAGATGAGTCACAATACTGTGGCTGAAGATATGATGAACAATGATGAACAACCCACACATCAAAGTCGTGTAATCAGCGATCACGGAACAAATCATGGAACGTTTCGGTCCAGGGCGGACCGTAACGTATGGCCACCACAAAGCTTTCGAGAAGACTGACCTGCCATCTGCAAGCTGCTACCCCTAGAAACTATATGCAAAGTGTACCTAACACAACACTCACTAGGAACATGCTAGTAAATAACACAACAATCACTAGGAACATGCTAGTAGATAACACAACAATCACTAGGAACATGCTAGTAGATAACACTACAATTACTAGGATCATGCTAGTAGAAACCACAACAATCACTAGGAACATGCTAGTAGATAACACAACAATCCTGGCAGCCACCACCGACCAGAGAAGATAGCAAATCCTGGAAGCTATACTCATAAGAGGAAAAAAAACTCACATTTAATACACAGAATAACGACTTCGCCATAAAGACTTTGTGTTGAACACTTAGCTGTAACCAACCATCTCTTAATGATGTCACTGACTGCCTCATGTCCAGCGATGTTTCCCAGACTTACGAGAGATAAGACCATTGTTGTCGTGTTGGTATACCAATGCATACCCGCGGACACACTTGTGTTTGATAAAGATAGGAACGACAAGGCGCTGAGCAACATCAATATTGAAGGACCGTTGATCTATGCAGATGGCCAAACAGGATTTAGGGACAGCCAACAGGAAGTCCCCAGCATGACGGGCTTGCATAGTGAGCTCTGAAGAAGACATGACCGAAAGCGTTCAGCTGTTAACTTTTCTTAACTTTTTCACTGTGGTTATTCAGCATTCCTGGATCAGCGTTTTTCCTTGTTGCATATATATATATATATATATATATATATATATATATATATATATATATATATATATATATATATATATATATATATATATATATATATATATATATATATATATATATACACACACACACACTACGCTGTGTACTCACACGAGAAATACCCATTGATTAATAACAATGATATGCATAAAAATTGGGGAAATAGGATGTATAAATACAAATATTTGTCTAATCATTGAAATAAGTTTGAAATAAGTTTGCAATCTCGTTTGATCTTCCCAACATGAGGAGCCAAAACGGAGTGACAAGGCTACCGATTGCACCACAGAGATGAATATAAGAATGGAGAATATATTTAGCATGTCTATCCTTTAGCGAGAAGAGAAGGAAATAGGAGCGGAAAATACATCCCCTCCGTTAACCCGTAAATCGTGGAAAAATGTAACACTCAATGTTTTTTTTGCAATATATAGCTGAGTACTCCAAGAGTGCCATGCAGTGTTTTGAAAATAAAGTGTATGATCTCATAATAGCAAAGTGAGTGTTGAAATATCAAAGTGCCGCTTTAAATAACCAGAAGCCATTCGAGGAGAATAACCATTCGAGGAGAATAACCATTCGAGGAGAATAACCATTCGAGGAGAATAACCATTCGAAGAGAATAACCATTCGAAGAGAATAACCATTCGAGGAGAATAACCATTCGAGGAGAAAAACCATTCGAGGAGAAAAACCATTCGAGGAGAATAACCATTCGAGGAGAATAACCATTCGAGGAGAATAACCATTCGAGGAGAATAACCATTCGAGGAGAATAACCATTCGAGGAGAATAACCATTCGAGGAGAATAACCATTCGAGGAGAATAACCATTCGAGGAGAATAACCATTCGAAGAGAAAAATGATAGAACCGACACCGGATCAAATCTGAGGATTGAGGGTTGTGTACAAGAGTGATGATAATAAATACAGATTCGGTGCTGATTATAAAAAAAAATCCTATTTGTCTAATCTTTGTGTTAGTTAACATTTTGGGTTAGACTCCCAAACTGAAAATCTACTTGAGGAAATTCTACTTGGGCCCCAAGGAGCACGAACGTTATATGCTAGTCTCCATGAAATTGTTTGGAACCAAAGACCAAAAATAATAAAAAAATCGTGGAACCAGAATTAAGGAGCTAAACGTTAATCCGCATATGCGAACCCCCTCCTGTAACCCCCAGCTACGACAGCATCTCCCGAAGAATCCGCGGGTCCAGCCACCCACATTTCGTGACCATGAGCCAGGTCCTGTCACCAAGAGGACGCGAAGAACCACTGATTATACAGGTTGGGTCCACAAGTCAGCCTCTGGGGTCGAGGGGGTCAGAGGGGGTTTGGGGACATGCTCTCCGGGTTATGGGTTGGGGGGAAGGGGTAGGCACGGAACGCCGTCAGCGAATGTTAATGCGCCCGTTTCCCGCTCTGTTCCAGTCAGCTCCGATCCTTTCCAACCAATTTCACTCGAAAGTAACTTAGTTAAAACTAATCCAAGTCAATTCCAATCATTTGCGATCGCTTTCAATCAGCCATTTCCAGATAATATTGAATCAGTCCCAAAATAGTCCCCCGTCAATTATAGTCCCAACGCCTGATGGCGCGGACGTCGCGTGCAGTGACCAGCGCGATCAGCCACCAGACCAGACCACAACACTGTGTGTCAAGGTAGCTTCAAGGAACATTAGTCTGCCAACTCCCAGGAGAAACTTTGTGAAATAAATGTATACAAACAGATGCTCTTCATATCGATGTGAGGGAAGAGAGAGAGAGAGAGAGAGAGAGAGAGAGAGAGAGAGAGAGAGAGAGAGAGAGAGAGAGAGAGAGAGAGAGAGAGAGAGAGAGAGAGAGAGAGGAGTGGAGAATGAGAATAGGGCAGTACAGGAAAGCGGAATAGAAGGATGGTGAAGAAGTTGCAATAATGGCATCCTTGGGGATGTGGGAGAGGGAGAGGAGAGGTACGATGATGAATGTCGGCGAGGGTGGCTATTCTCGGCGGTGATGAATAATGATGATCATCATCATCATCCATGGATAACGGCGCCTCTCTTGGTAGTCCCTGCTACCCCCTACACCCTGCTACCCCTACACCCCTGCTACCCCTACACCCCTGCTACCCCTACACCCTGCTACCCCTACACCCTGCTACCCCTACACCCCTGCTACCCCTACACCCCTGCTACCCCTACACCCCTGCTACCCCTACACCCCTGCTACCCCTACACCCCTGCTACCCCTACACCCCTGCTACCCCTACACCCTGCTACCCCTACACCCCTGCTACCCCTACACCCTGCTACCCCTACACCCCTGCTACCCCTACACCCGTGCTACCCCTACACCCCTGCTACCCCTACACCCCTGCTACCCCTACACCCCTGCTACCCCTACACCCCTGCTACCCATACACCCCTGCTACCCCTACACCCTGCTACCCCTACACCCCTGCTACCCCTACACCCCTGCTACCCCTACACCCTGCTACCCCTACACCCTGCTACCCCTACACCCTGCTACCCCTACACCCCTGCTACCCCCTACACCCTGCTACCCCTACACCCTGCTACCCCTACACCCCTGCTATCCCTACACCCTGCTACCCCTACACCCTGCTACCCCTACACCCCTGCTACCCCTACACCCTGCTACCCCTACACCCTGCTACCCCTACACCCTGCTACCCCTACACCCCTGCTACCCCTACACCCTGCTACCCCTACACCCTGCTACCC